CAAACTTATCCGAGGCGGCTTCAACCATCTTCTCACGCAAAAGGGCCCCACCACGGCCCTTAACCAGATCAAGATTCGGGTCGACCTCGTCTGCTCCGTCTATGGCCAAGTCCAGATGAGGGTGGGCATCGAGGGTTGACAATGGAATGTTAAGGCTAGCAGCTTGCTCCTGAGTCCGCTTCGAGGTGGGCACACTGACGATATCAGTAAGCTCGCCAGACTTGATCAAATCGCCGATCTTGGTCACCACGAAGGCGGCGGTTGAACCAGTACCCAACCCAAGAACCATACCACTCTTAACATATTCCACGGCTTTATCAGCAGCCAGTTTCTTGAGATCATCTTGGATCAAGGCTGGTGAAGGAGTGGAGAGGGCTTTGGTGACGAATTTAGAAGGATTCCGCTGGTTAAGGGATGAAGAGCCTAGACTAAGGCGGCGGGTGGAGACGGCCGTGGCATTGCTGTGGTTAAAGGAGAGGGAGATGGGAGAGAGGAGGGATAAGGTGGTTGCCATGGGTGTAGAATTTGGACCGTGCTCCTCTTGCCTGATCTTTCAGTGAAGAGGGTCGTTTTTCTAATTTTTTATGCCGTTGAAATTCGCTTTTAATTTTAGTAGTGAAAAAGTTAAATGACTAAAATGAAATAAAATTAAGTTACATGACTAAAATGAAATTTGGCTAAAAGTTAGAGGATGACATTTGTTTATCATCCCTCAAAAGGGACTCTAGGACTTTCGCTGCTATTTTCTGTATTCGAATAGCTCAAATATATTTCCCCCTAAATCTTAGTCATTTTGTCCTGTTCTCTCTCTATCATCAACCATGTCAGCCGAATCATCCTCTGCCATTCAAAGAAGTCAGGTAACACTGATTCGTTATTGCTTGAAGTTCTTATACACCTTCCTTTTTCGACTTTTTTGCAGCTTTGACTTTTAATCTTGTAAATTTGACGATGTGTGTAGGTTGATCTACTGGACTTTGTGAACTGGTCGGGTGTGGAATGTTTAAATCAAAGCAGCAGTCATTCTCTTTCGAATGCTCTCAAAAAGGTGATTTTTAATAACTGAAAATTTTGAATTCTCTTCTCATAATTAGGGTCCTTTCATTGGTTAATTGATTTATAAATAGGATGCTTATCTCATGTTTCTCTACCCTTTCTGAAACTAATAGTTTCGAGCTTATTGACAAAATTGGGCTTCGAATGGAATAGAATACCCCAAAATTATGGGTTTGAGCATCTATCTAACCATGGATTTTAAAAGAACATTTAGGCTTGACGTCGAAAATACATAAATTAAAGAAATGGGTACCCTAGTAAAAAGGTGTTCTTAATTATTAGGTGTCAGGTGAAAGTATGTTTTGGAACTATTCTGGAAGGAGCCTTTTTTCTAGATTTTGTGAAGTATTGTTTGCTTAGTTGTGAGCGTTACTTGATTGGGAAAATCTCAATGTATATAGGACTATCATTCTTGTTTTGGGGCTAACTTAAGCTATCAGCATCAATTTCCATCAAATTTGTGATGTATAACATAGTTGTTTCTGTTGCAAGTTTGAAAATAATAATATTAGAATTATGAATTGATCAAGATCCCTACCATATTTTGTGAGTTCATGTAAACTCAACCAACAATTAAGCAGTATCATGGCTTGTTCCTTTTTCTTATATTTGTTTCTTATCTCAAATTTCATAGGGACGAAGCCATGTAAATCCCATTGAAGAAAAATGAGTTAAAGGTGCTATATTGCAGTGTTTTATGTGGAGGTCGCTCCAAAAAGAAATTGTACACTGTCTTGTGGTTGGGAAAGAGAAAAGAGGGTTGATAAGAAATAAGCTAGTCAGGAGTGTATCCATCTATAGTAGTCCAATGAAACTATAAGCTCAAAACTGATGCGATACAGAGAGCCAATTGTAGAGTAGTGGGTTTGGGTCAGTTGTTTTTTCTTTCAAGAAAAGAACACCAAGATTAAGGAAAAAAGATCTTTGATGACCAAAGCAGGTATTGAATATGCAGACAAACAAGTCATGAACCTTTTAAACTGATTAAGGTTTGGAACCCTTGATGACTGGTCATAATATAAATAATTTAGAATAAACTGGTTATGCATTTATATCGGGCTTGTTGGGCCCCATTTTTTTGAAAAAAATGCATTTTTCAATAGTATTTTGACATAATTTCAACCACACATTTTTCAATAAAATAATATTACACGCAAATCCAAAACTTTTTCATATTTTTTAACCACACATTTCCCATCAATACACTATTCAAAAATTCATTCTTTCTTCCAAAATGGGGCTCAAACAAGGGCATCATTTGGCAATTGGACTCAGTTAGCAGTTTAGAGTTCAGTTAAATTCATTAGGTCCTTATAAATTCTTTTAATCATTGATTTTAGTGTCAAAATGGTAAGAACTGATAATTCCGTGGTGTATATTGGTGCCCAACAACTGGAACTAGATTTGTCCCAAATTTGGACTAACTAAATATTTTAAATGCGACGTTTGTTGTTGCCAAACCAGGGTTGGTTAATTTGGTCACAAGTATACTACATCACAACTCACATTCTGTTTTACTTTTCTTGAAAACCATCTTTTGGGGGAATAATTGGAATGGTGAAATGTGGATATGACAGATATTAACAAACATCATGGGCTGTTTGGCATGATCTTTACATGAGCTTTACCTTTCAGGTCATTATTTTCTTTTATGCTATTGGATCTGCATTTGAATGCCAGATTGGTAAAATACTCTTGTTAACTTGGGGAGCATTTTCTGTATTCTTCAATATCTAATTAGAGATGGGAACTGAAAGGAACTTGATGTTTTGAAAAGGATGTGTAGGAAGAGTTTAGGAACTAGATTGGATTGTAGTTGTCCAATGATCACTACAATGTACATGAGATTCAAGATCAGTTTACCTTGTAAAGCAGATAATAGAGAATGAAGGGGAAACTTTGTGTCTCGGGATGGATGTATTGAATTGAGAGGCTCTGTGTCACTCCAATAGGGGAATTTCCTAATTGGATTTCTCTTTTCTATTCATTAGTTAAGCATAAGCCTTTCTTTTTTGTTACCATGATTTTACATTTTTCCTTAGATCATGTTATCATTATGTTCGGAAAGCAACATTACTCTTTCTATTGTCACCTTGTTTTTTGTTTTTTTAATTGTCCATTTCTTTTACCATTTCCTTTTGGCTATTAGTTGGGTTTGTGTCCTGTTGCATCATTATTACTACCCCTTTCTCATAAAGATAAGCTTGCTTTCCTTTTTTGTTTGTCCAAAATTATAGGTCACTTGTTGAAAATATAGCTAATTTCTCAATTTTCTAATATTCCCTATTTAATGTGTTTTGTTATCAACAGACATGAACCACTTCTATTTAAACTATTATTTAATGTAAGGATATATTAGGAAAAATAGAAGTAAAAATTATATTTTCAACTATATTATTTATGTTTTCTTAATATATGTGACAATAGAAACAAGCATATCTTCATGGAACTAAGGTAGTATCTTCTAGTTCATTCCTTCTGTTTTTGAATCAGGGTTACAGAGAAGATGAGAGTTTGAATTTGGAAAGCGATGCAGATGAGCAGCTATTGATTTATATTCCATTTACTCAAGTTATTAAACTGCACTCTATTGTCATTCAAGGGCCTGAGGAGGAAGGTAACTGCCTTATTTCTAGATTTCTACTTTTTCAATGCGAATTATATACCAGAACATGTATTATGATTGCCACATTTCAATCACCTGCTGGACTTCTGTGATGATATTTATTCCATGAATTTATGTTTGAAATTTATTTTGGCAATATTATTTTGTAACTAAGCCAACTGTTCTATCATATAATAGTAACAGTTAAATAATAATATTTTGGGAAAATCATCTCTTGATCCCCTACTATCAAACTATAACGACAGAATAGAGATATGGAGCTCCCCCCACAATCCAAACTAACCCAGCCACCACACCACCACACTACTGGCGTCGACGACCAACTATCCGGTAGGCACCACACAACCGGCCTCACGCCACAAATCAGCCCCTCCAACCACGCCCTTCACACACAGGCGCAGTCCACTGTTAGAAACCCTAGCGCCGCCCAGCCGATTCTGCCAGATCCGGCCACGTTTCGAGGAAACACGCCTCACCGGCGGCCTCAGCAGGCACCGGCGACCCCTGCCGGTGTCTTACCCCCCACACGCGCCGCTGTCGGGAACTTGCAGTGGCAGCTTGCTGCTCCGAGATCAATCGGCTTGTCCGTTCCTCCGTTTGAAGAACTGCTTGTACATAATCATCGGAAAAAATTGGCGGATGTGCGTAGTACGGTATTCAATCATTGTTTCAAAGTGGAGGCGAAGGACTTCGCAGTATCTATTAACGATTCTGGCACTATTAAGTTGACAGAATGGGGTTCGAAGTTATCGGATTCAATCTTTATGGGAATGTATGGTGCTATTTGGATGGTGAATATGGTAGACAGATTGAGGATGAGAAGTGAATTTGAGGACTGTGTTTTAAATTCAACGAATTTTCAAGAGCTTTCTTGGCACAACGGTGTGTGAACCGTCGAGGTAGATATTTGATGATAGCACAATATGGGGAGAGGCGTCGGAAAGGAGTTGTCATGATACTAGAATGTGCAAATGGAGAGGGATGGGCGTCGGTCTTGCGAGTGTTTCAAGCAGTTGTTAACTAATTTGTTGCTGGGGATAAGGCCAAACGACAAACGGTGAATGAACGAAACAGACAGAGGATGACTTATGCAGAAATTACAACAAACTCACAGGCCTCGGAGAATGCCAACCAACGGATGCTATAGCAAAAGGAAAGGACAAATAAAGTCGGTGATAACGAAGGTTACGACATTTGTTTGAGTAGGGCTGAAATAATGACCCATGCCCAGGAGTTGAAAGGAACATTGGATGAATTACTTAGGCTGGTTGGAAACGGGCCTGAAATGGAGCCCATGAAATTGGTACGCTGTCACAAGTGTGGGGTTGAGTTGGATGAGGATCAAACCGGTGAAATACACGTACCGGAATTGACTCATGAGGAAGTACCATCAATTACAGCAATTGAAAAGCAGGGAGAAGATGAACATTGTGATTCTCAGGAGAGGATGGAAGCAGGATACCATAAAAACGATGACAGGGTTGACTTTGTGGGGGTCAACCGGAATGAAGTAGACACGAGGATTGCAGTTGAACGAGAGGTGGAACCCCTGTCTAAGAAAGGGGAGTTTAGTATGGTGAACTTGGAGAAATTGACAATGGACACTGTGAAACATTCGACATCAAGGATTACGAACACTTATAATAGGAGGACAAAAGATAATGATATAGGGACCGAAAAAGCTTTGGTGTTATGGGTAGATGGTGCCAAGAAAGGAGAAAGCGACAGTGACATTATACCAGTGGTGGAAGAGAAAGAACGGTCCTTTGATCATCTCGAGGGCTATCAGGGTAAGGGTATTTCAGAAGCTGATGTGGTAGAAGTTCACCCACCTTCGAACTGGGTTCTACAAAAAATTGAGGAATTCAGTAAGTTGGTTGGCGTGTCATGTGATGGGCATGAAAGTAGATTGTTACAATTATTCGAGGAGTTGGAGGCTAATAGGGGACAAGACATCAGTACACATGGAAGTAAATTAAGAAGAAAGGGTGATCGCGAACTTAAGAGGCTCGAATGGTCAGTAAACTATGCTGGTAAGGGTGGCGAGTTCACGAAAGGAACAATGGGGAGGGGTTATGAAGTGTTACAATGATGCCAAAACTCATTAGCTGGAACGTAAGGGGGCTCAATGAGGTTAGTAAAATGCTTGGTGTTCGACATTTGCTAAGGGGATGGGGGGCAAATCTTGTTTGCCTACGAGAAACTAAGATGGAGTTTATCTCGAGGGCGGTGATTCGTAGTTTATGGGGGGGAATCATGTAGGATATTAGTTTTTGGGGTCATCAGGGGTTTCAGGAGGCGTGTTGGTGATGTGGGACACTAGAGTGCTTGAGATGAAGGAGGTGAGTATAGGGGTATTCTCTATATCGATTTCTTTCAAAAATTGTGAGGATGGATTTCGGTGGATGTTCACAGGAGTTTATGGGCCTAATTTTGATGACAGTAGAGTGGGCTTGTGGGATGAACTGGCTGGAATGAGGGCTTGGAGGAATCTCCCTACATGTATTGGGGGTGATTTCAATGTGATTCGTTTTCCTTCGGAGAGGTCGAGTGGTGGGAGACTAACTAGAGCAATGGAGGAGTTCTCAGATTTTATTAGGGAGAATTTGTTGGTGGATTTACCCATGATTGGGGGAGATTTTACCTGGTCATCCAATCGGGATCGACCTGTTTTGTCTCATATTGATAGGTTCTTGATTTGTGGGGAGTGGGAGTCTAAATATTCAGATGTCACTCAGAGAAGATTGGGGAGGGTGTACTCAGATCATTTTCCTATTATGTTATCGGGGAATAGAAGGGGTGGTGGAAGAAGACCTTTCAGGTTTGAGAAGATGTGATTGAAAGTAGAAGGTTTTAGGGAGCGAGTACAGATGTGGTGGACTTCCTATGAAGTCAGTGGGTCTCCCTGTTTTGTATTGGATTAGAAGCTAAAGGCGTTGAAAGGGGACTTAAAGAAATGGAATGAGGAAGTTGTGGACAATGTTAACTATAGTAAAAATCAATGTCTGTCAGAGATAGAGGAGTTGGATAGGTGGGAGGAGAGTCAAGGGTTGGCTGGGGAAGAGGAGAGACATAGAGTATTAAAGAAAGAGATGGAGAGGTTGGTGGAGATGAAGGAGATTACTTGACGACAGAAATCTAGAGTTACTTGGTTGAAAGAGGGGGATAAATGCACTAAGTTCTTCCACAGGGTCGCCAATTCTAATAGGAGGAACAACTCCATCACAGTTTTGGAGGTGGACGGGGTTACTTATGAGGAACCACAGGAAATTGGAAGCCAACTGGTGAATTTTTATTTGAACCTCTATTAGAAGCAATTTTAATGGAGGCCAGAATTAGAGGGATTGCACTTTTCTACAATCACTGAGGATGATGCCCGATTAATGGAGAGACCATTTGGGGAGGATGAAATTAAGGAGGTAGTATTCAGCTTGAATGATGATAAGGCTCCGGGACCGGACGGTTTCTCGTTCTCATTCTACAAGGTGTGCTGGGATGTGGTTTGACCGGACATTGTGAATACTTTATCTTATTTTTTTGAACGTGGCAGATTCCAGAGAAGTTCTAACACCACATTTATTGTGCTCATCCCTAAGAAATCGAGAGTGACTGATATTAAGGACTTTCGCCCCATTAGCATTGTCAGCGAGGTGTATAAGATTATTTCGAAAGTCCTGGCAAATAGATTAAAGGAGGTGCTGGGAAAAGTTGTGTCCAAGTTTCAGAATGCATTTGTAAAAGGGCGTTAGATTTTGGACTCTGTGCTTTTAGCGAATGAATGCATAGATTCAAGAATGCGCCTAAGGGCCCCAGGGATGCTTTGTAAGCTAGATATTCAGAAAGCTTACGATCATGTAAATTGGGGATTCTTGTTGGATATACTTAAGCGCTGTGGCTTTGGGGATAAATGGTGTAAATGGATTCAATTCTGTATTTCTACTGTTTCATTCTCAGTTTTGGCCAACGGAACACCTGAGGGTTATTTCCGGAGCAGTAGAGGCTTGAGACAAGGGGATCCATTGTCCCCATTGTTATTTGTCATTGTGATGGAGGCCTTCAGTAGGATGATTGAAAGAGCCGTGAGAGCGAGTTTGATAAGGGGTTTTATGGTTGACCAATTGCAGGTGTCCCATCTGTTATTTGCAGATGACACGTTGATCTTATGCGATGCAAATGTTGAACAATTCAGGAACTTGCGTCGTCTGCTCTTATGTTTTGAAGCGGTGTCTGGTTTGAAAATCAATTTGGGGAAGTCTGAGGCTATTCCAGTTGGGGAGGTCAATAATGTCGAGGAACTGGCTGATATGTTAGGTTGTAAGATTGCGCAGTTGTCGATGTCATATGTAGGACTCCCGTTAGGAGCACGATTTAAAAGTACCCATATCTGGAATGGTATTGTGGAAAGGATGGAGAGAAGATTAGTAGGGTGGAAGCGTATGTACATTTCTAAGGGAGGTAGACTTACTCTCATTAAATCCACTCTCTCCAATCTCCTTACTTACTTTTTTTTCATTGTTCCCCATTCCAATTGCAGTGGCAAAGAGATTAGAGAGACTTCAAAGAGAATTTCTGTGGGCAGGGTTGGGGGAGGAGAGGAGACTCCATTTGGTCAATTGTAGAGTTGTTTGTTTGCCGATGATGGGGGGTCTTGGGGTGAGGAGTTTTGTGTTGTTCAATAAGGCCTTATTAGGTAAGTGGTTGTGGCGATTTGGAGTGGAGAGGGAAAGCTGCTTGAGAGAAATAATTGGGGCGAAGTATGATGTGACGGAGGGGGAATGGTGTACATTTGAGGATCGTGGTTCTTATGGGGTGAGTTTGTGGAGGTATATCCGGCGGGGATGGAGTGCTTTTTTGGACAAACTAAAGTTTGTGGTCGGAAATGGTAATGAGATTAAATTTTAGGATGATTGTTGGTGCGGAGATCAACCGCTAAAAGAGAGATTCCCTTCCTTGCATCGCATTGCCTCAGTGTCCACTGCTATGGTGAGTGGTCTCTTAGACATTCAAAATGGGAGCTATAGCTGGAATATTACTTTTGGAAGGGATCTTCAGGATTGGGAATTGGAAGATTATTCGCTGTTTATGATCTTTTTACATGAGGCACAAATTCGGATTGGAGAGAGGGATTGCATCAGGTGGAGGATAGCACAGGATGGCATTTTTTCAGTTCGCTCGTACTTTGTTTCCCTCATGGGATGTGTGAATAATTCATTCCCCTGAAAGTTGGTGTGGCAGTGTAAATTGCCTCCTAGGGTGGCATTCCTATTGTGGACAGTTGTGAGGGGACAGGTCTCAACGGTGAATAATTTTCGACGTAAAGGATTTTACGCAATCGAGTGGTGTTATGTGTAAGAAGGATGAGGAGACGATCGATCATTTGTTCATTCATTGTGATGGTGTACGTTGAATTTGGAACAGTATACTTAGTTCTCAATCTATGGATTGGGTGATGTCTCGTCGTATAGAGGATGTGATACGAGCATGGCGGAGAAAACTTCGTGATAAGAATAGCAAACTAGCATGACATCTTATCCCGGGCTGCATTGTATGGTGTGTGTGGAGAGAAAGGAACAACCGTTACTTCGAAAACCAAACAAAAATAAGAGAACAGATAAGAGAAATATTTTACTTTACCTTGTATTCTTGGTTTAATGTTGTGGCTAGAAATCCTGTAGATAGGTTGTCTAATTTCATGTTGTTCCTTAATGGCTTAAAGTGATTGTACCCCCCCCCCNCCCCCCCCCCCCGGTGTATTCTCTTTTAAGTAATAAAATTATTTGATTACCTATAAAAAAAAAAAAAGATAATAATATTTTGGGAAGTTTGCACCTACATTTACCATTCTATGAAAAGGGCACTGGGTCTCCGTTCAATTTTTCTTGGCATTTAGATCTTCAACTTTCAACTTCTGTATCAACTGAGTCCCTATTTATGTATTTGAATCCAAGAAATTTGTTAATTTATGGAATAGTTAGAGCATATTATTTGTTTCCTTTTTTAGCTGGTTGACCTAGGGTTGTATGTAGCCTATAAAGGCCTCTGTTATCTGACCAAATAATCAACACAAAATTATTCTCATTTACCACTTGAATCATTGGGTGAGTCAGCAGGCTTATTTAGTTGTTCTTGTTACCTGCTCAGTCTAGCTTAGCAGCTGTGTAGAATCTCTGGACATCTAGGATTTGAGATTTAACGAAATAACACATGATATAGGTTTTCTTATTAAACATCGGTCTGATATCTTAAGGTGCCCAAGCTTTGGGGTGAAATAGTAAACTAATCAAGTAAGATTATACGAGAATTTGTTGCCAGTTTAAAGCATAATATCACTATTGAAATATTAGTTCTCAGACTAAGTTACAGGTTGCCTTTGACACCCTCTTACATTAAGTATGGATTAAAGGGAATGGATGGAGCAGAAGGAGAGGAGGAATGTTTGGTATTCTTATTTAACTAATGGGGAGAGAACAGCAAGGAAGGGAAGAGGATGGAAAGTATAGTCCTAATAGTGTTTGTAATTGTGATACTTTTATGTCAGTAATATCCTTTTATTTCCAGGCTGTCTTATTCTGTGACTGATTAATTGGGTATATATTGAAATAATGTGTAATTGTTATCAATCCTTTCTTTTTCTTCTAGTTATACACAGAAGAGAAGTAATGACAACCATCTCATGTGTTTCTACATTTGTCTCCTATCTACTGACTTTTTATTTCTGTTCATGTCATCCCAACACACACTCATTTTCTCACTCAATACCCAGATGACTCATCCCATGATGGGATGAATGTTATCTGTTCTCTTTGATTTGACTGCATCTTTGGCCAATCCCCTTTGCAAATGGTTGATGTTTATTTTTATAATTATCTGACATCACTTTGTTTCTGGATCTTTAATCAGCTATTGATTTTAAGTTTTGATGTTATTTTCCAGGTCCTAAAACTGTGAAACTTTTTGCTAACAAGGAGCATATGGGATTCAGGTAATGTTTGAAGTTTGGTTATTTTTTGGTTGGACTTGCCTCTGTTAACTGCTTGCTTGCTTCTGATATTTAAAGGGAATTGTTAATATATGCAGCAATGTCAATGACTACCCTCCAAGTGACATTGCTGTTTTGTCTGAGGATAATCTCAAGGTAACTTTCAGTGCTTGATGTAGTTCACTGTTATTCTCCTGCATAAGACGGGATTTGTGTGCTGTTGTTGTTATAGTCAAAATTGTCACCACATCAAGCTAAATGTACTGCATCCCTGCAGGGAAAACCAGTTATCTTGAAGTATGTTAAGTTTCAAAATGTTCGCAGGTGTGTTCATTGTCTCTTGCCATTGTCATCCTAACCTGATCGTTTCAGGCTTCAGAATGGAATTTCTAACTAATTAATTTTGATCAGTCTAACAATTTTCATTGAGGATAATCAATCTGGTTCTGACATTACAAAAGTTCAAAAGATCGTTCTCTCTGGAACAACGTGAGTGTCTCATTTCCCTTTTCTTTCCCTTTTGTTTTATTTCTATTTTCTAGTCTTTGCTTAATCATATTTCCGTTGGATGATTGAATTGTGGGTAATGTTTTACATGGAATATCTTATGAATGGATTTGGCATGTTGATGAACTAATAAAATTTCATCAAGAATCTATTTTGCTATCCTTTTTTTTCCCTTTCAGGACTTAAGAGGGTGTTTGAGTCATATTTTCATGAAAAAATCCATTTTAGAATAATAAATTGATGGGAAATGTGTGGTTTAAAAATAAGAAAAAATTGATTTACGTGTAATATTATTTTAATGAATAATGTGTGGTTGAAGAGAAGAGTGAGAAAAATGTATTTTGGGAAGATTGAGAATCAAGGCCGAAGTATATTAAGCTGATAGCCTTATTTTTTGTTGGATATATTTGTTCTTTTATCACCATGTTCTGACTGAACGATTCTTCAAATGGCCAGAGATGAAGCCCTATATAGGCTGTTTTTTGACATTGCTAATTGATCTAAATTGGAACAAGTGATGCCTTGGGAGATTTGTGAGAAGATTGATCATCACGATAGAAGATTGATCATCACATTTTAGTTATGCTATGCTTCATTGTGTATGAGCTTAATCTACTTAAGCAACATAATTATGTTGCGTTATTAGGTATTCAATGTTTCGCGGTTTTATTCATGGTGGATGATTTTTGTTATGGTGTGCTTCAACTACAGGGTGGACACTACGGACATGAAAGGTTTGAAAAAGATCGAGGATCACTGAATCTGGAATTAGCAAAAGAGGGGAAATTTTTATTTCGTATCGAAGCATCATTAGCATCTCTGTCTCTCATTAAAACAATTGCAATGAGATCTTTTCTTGTTAAAGAAAAATCTAGTGATATACTTAATCTCGCTTTACACATGGTGAGTTTTGGCCTTTGTACCCTTTTCAGATATACATGCTATGTTTATTGGAATGACAAGTTGGTAGTAACTGTTTTTCGTTTTAACTTGTTTGTGGCACCTTTGGTATATTATATCGTACAGATCATAATATTAAGAAAGAAATGAAGCTGAAAATTATTTATTTTATTTCAGTCCAGACTCTGTACAAACGTGCCCAATGCCTTGATCCATTCAGCCGTATCTTTATGTTGATAATAGTAATGCAATTTGATACGATCTTCTGCCTGTATTCTAGTGAAAATTACTACAATATGGTTGTTATATTAACAGTTAGTTGCCTCAGCAAATTTATGCAATTGAATGGAAAAGTATATTGTAGGGGAGATTCAAGAGGCAAAAATGGTAAGATTAGCCTTCGACTTATGGACTTAGGCCTCATTTGGTACCTATTTTTTGTAAGAACGAGAATGAAAAATATAGTCGTTATGAAATTCATACAAGAGATAGAAAGACAAATATGGTGTCTTAATGTGATATATAACTGTCATATTTTTCATTTTTGTGGTCAAAGAATGAGAATCAAACGGAGGGTTAATTGTAAATTCGTTCCAGTGGTCTTCAACTTTTTGTGTTGGTATCGTTCCTCGACAATGGATTCCCTTACCTCTATAAAGTTATCTTCTTGTTCAGAACATCGTGTTGTCTTGAATTTTTTATTAAAATAAATAGCAAAAATATAAAGATTACATGTCAAGTTTATAGTCATTTTCATTTGATATACAGACTTAACCAGAATGCACAGTTGCGTTATAAGGATAGCGATCATAAACTATTCTAGCTTGTGGTGCTCATTTTTCATTAAGAATTGATCTTCATTACCAATTTGTGAGTATGGTTTACATTTCATAATGTTTTTTAAAGGATAAATTGTAACACAAAAGAAACGTGATATCCTATCACATCAATGTTTTTACTTTTAACAAACGGACTATTTTACCCTTTGTTTGGATTTTCAATTTGATGAACAATTTCACTAACACAATCATATTGTAGCGTATCTTATTGAGGGGTACATTTAATAAATTTAAAGAACGTGTACGCAAGGATATCAGGTAATGCAATGGATTTTATAATTTCTGATTTTCAAAGTAACAAATTATATTAAAAACCTAATTTCTAACAAAACAAATGGTGGTTTAAAATAACTTGTATAAAATATATTTATTTGTTGTTTCGTGTTATCTATGTATTTCAAATTTGAATTATGGTAACGATGTCAACATATTTATTTGAAAAATGATGGAGAGGAAGAATAGTGGAGGAAGAGGGAGATGAACGGTTGGAGAGATAGCGAGGCTCCAATGGGAGCGGGGAAGGGAAAGGTGCACAAGGAAGAAAAAAAAAAAAAAGACAGTCCTATATTAAATGTGCAGTTAAGGGTATTCATGACTTGTTTTTAACTAACTGATTTGATAAGATAGTCTAACTCTAACCATGACATGACCTAAACATTACGACACAACTTACCATTAAGGGTAACTCTGGTTTTTTCACAAAATGATTTGACAAGACGGTCTAACTCTAAACTCTAAGACATGATGTGCACGACACAACTTACTAGTAAAGATAAATGTGATTTAATTTTCGCTAAATGATTTGACAAAACGATCTATCTCTAGCAGACTCAAGACATGATGTACACCTATGACACAATCCACCATTAAGGGTGATCATGACTTTTTCTCGTTAAATAATTTAACAAGAAACAAAGGTGTTAAATCTCTCTCTTAAAGAGTTTGGTTATATGATCATATTTTTTTCAAAAACAAGAAAAACATTTTCTTTACAAGGGATTGGGCTTTTATTTTTCAAGCAAATCAATCGCTCTCTCTTATATCCACTCTCTCCTTTACCCATCAATAAAAAATGAACACGTACTATGTTTGCAACCAAACACACCTTTAGTGTATTTTCATTCTGGGCTTTTTAGTACTTGCAAAAATAAAATGGTAAGAAATATGAATGTGGAAAGAGATTTTTTATTTTTATTTTTTATTTTTAATGAAAAGTAAATTTCCAGTGCTGTGCGTACGAAAACCGTCCACATAAAACAAAAGCCTACCAATGAAGTAAAAGTTATGCATTAAAGTTAGAATTGTTTAATCGGGTGTTTAAATCTAACAAATGCACATGAATAGTCGAAGAATAATAGATACTCTACTGCTCATTGCTGCTCTCCTCCCCCGCGTATGCGCTTTTGCAGATGTTCCAAGCTAGCAATTCTCTGCATAGAAACTGTTCTTCCCCTGTTGTTCCCCAAGCCTGTTTCATCATTCTGTTGTACATTATCCGCTGGAGTAATATCTACCAAACCATTTTGTAACCCAAGATCACGAGTCGATGGAGCACTTTCATAATAGCACTGCTTTGTGTTATATTGCACTTGCACTTGTACAGGTACAGCAGCATCTGCTGATGTGTCTGATGGACTACCAGCAAAAGATGGCATGCCCATTGTGGATATATCAGATATAGATTGGAATGGTGGGCCTAAACCGGTTACTCTCTTAATAGCCTCTTCTGCAACTTTTGCCTGTTTAAGGAAGACGGGATGTATCAGATATTTTCTGTAAACTCAACGGCCAATGAATACTTTTATCAAGGTGAAAATATCCTGAATCCAACATGAAACTTGATAAGAGAGCTCTGAGCATATTTATACAGCATTTTGGACTCGTTTAATCCCTATAATTGTGGGGACCAACAAGAACACTGAACAGATTGTTACAATAAGTTACATGATGCGAACCCGTCTCTCTTGTGCCGAAGTTCGTGAAGTATAGGATAAATTGAACAAATTACTCTGTAGTTTTCAGATTCCCGGTCAACCTTACCTTTTCTCTCAATGTCTCAGCATCGGCTTTCAGAACTTTGTTCTCAACAGCTGTTTCATTGTACTTTTGGTTTATATCAGATAGTTTCTTTAACAAATAAGAGTTTTCAGCTCTTAATTGAGAAACCTGAAACATGAGCAATATCCTAATACACGATCACATGAATACAAAGGTAAATAAAGATGATGAGAGTTGAGAAATATACCTCTGTCTCAAGCTCAGTCAAATGGGCCTGCTTTCTTCTTCTCGAGCGTCTGGCGGATTCTCTGTTTGAAAGCATCCTGTAAAAGATAACAATACAAATTATATAAAACTGATTCTGCTATTATAATAGTGGACATCAAGAATCACACAGTAGTTTAGAACATAAAATAGATTTGAAACAGTTAAAAGCCAAGTGATGGGTGCACTGCCATTGAGAAAAAACATACCACATACAAAAATGAAGAATCACACAATGTTTTTAGAGCATTGAATTCTCTCTCTTCCTCTCCATTTCATTTATTTTTATATCAATGTAGATTAAGATGCTGTCATCCCCCTAGCATGACAAATCCCATGTGATGTACTTAATCTTGAGTGATTGCCAACTTTCACGAGCAATTAGCACCTAAAAGGTTATCCTGTTAATACCTCCTTATGCGCTTTGCATCTACAGGGTCCATATTCTGAGTTGTCTCAGTTTCTCCATCACCTTCATCATCTGATTGTTCTCCAGATGAGCCACTTGTTATTGACTTCACCTGAGCCCCACCAGATTTCCTAGGCATAACAGGCAGGGAAGAGAACCCAAGTGGTCCACTGGCAACCTTATCTTGTCCCTTTGATGAATCATTCCCAGCTCCTACCAAATGATAATTAAAAAAAGAAAAAGAAAAAAAAGTCAGCAATGGTTCTCGACCTTCGGAGTACATTATACACCAAATTATCATTTATTCCTACTAACAGATTAACTCCAGGACGGTAAGCATGCATACAATGAGGCTCATGGAGCATGATTTGCTGTATTGTGTTGTTTTACATGTCAAAAGTAGAGGTGTTCATCACAGATAAATATGATCAATTCAGAAAAATGCAGCAAACAAGAGGATCTGGAGAATAATGATTTGCCTACATACAAGTGAAATGCTTCATCTACGCGCACAATTTCTGGAGCTGTGGGGAAAATAGGTAAATTATGACATCAGTAGGTCCATTGACAACTAAATTCAACAGACACGCTCAAAGGGATCATAAAAGCAGATCTGAAGCTCATCGTGCTTTCTAAGGTAAGTTGTATAGCAATCCAGACACGTGTTCACCAATAAACATAAAACGTTATGGTGGAGTTTTAAAGATTGGACTGAGAGAAATTCGACCAAGGGATTCATGCACATAAATCACGGATGTTTGCAGCAGTAAGCATTAGTAGCATTAATTACATTAATCGTTCCAAGACGAAGGGCCAAGCTCTTTAATTTAAGACAAAATCATATAAAACTGCTCCAATAGTTCGTTGAGTTGAATATGCTTGCACTCTTAGTCTGACTAAACTTGTGGAAGGCATTTTTGTTATGCTACTAATACTTGTACTTGCTCTGCTATTTTGTCCAAGCCTGGCTGAGGAACGGTTACGGGGCATAAAACAAAGAAAATACACAGATGGGTTGGGGGCATACTATTTGTAATGATTCTATCATTCATGATAAATAATAAATAAAAAGAAAAAGCCATTCCGAAGACCTAAACCCAAGTTCAACAGTTTTTTGTCCGCTATCCCGATCATGATTTTCTTATCCCCAGAGGGAAAGGTACTTCCCTTTTGAGCTGGTTACTAGAACCAATACAAATAAGTAGGGGAATATTCAGAGAAAAGATAAATAAATAATAACAAAGCATTCGCTCATGGTAAGTTTATTCGGAATGATAAAGCCTCGTGGCCATTTATATCCAGCTCTATCACATGAACTCGAGTTGAAGAATGATACTTAAGTCATCCATCATTAACAAGAATATTATAAAAGTAGGAATCCTACAAGCTGCATTACATAGAGCATCCAAGGTCCTAACTAATGTTCAGTATACTTCATTTAGCTTCCGAATACAAGTCAGACAAAGGGGAATACAGCCACGGAAACATCATAATGCTTAGTAACTCACATTTCCTTAATCATCTGCATAGTTTGCTTTAGCATCTAAAGCACAGATATAAAAATAGTTGAAAGGAGCACGGGCATCAGCAAACTGCAAGACTTTCTTCTTCTTACTTTTGAAACATGCTGTTATTCATCACTGATAAAAAAACGTGATGACCATTTAAAAAAAAATTATTGAACTTAATTTTCACATTAGGTCTAGGTAAACACTCACTAGTTGTCGGAACTACCAGTGGTTACTTGAGTTTGGGTCCAATTATATTTGAAGTTGAATACACTTAGATAAACTTGCTAAAACTAGGGGCCCAAATGAGCAATCCTGTAGACTCATTTATTGCCCCAAGCAGTTCTACCTTCAACACCACTAGTGCAACATCCCCGCTGTCCCAGGACTGCACCTCTTTCTGCCTCCACACTACCCGTCACCAGCCCCCCTGCCCACCAACAAATACACCACCTTCAGCCAAGAACTTCAAAGCCACCATTCTCAAGGAATACTACCAATCTCAGCCATGGACAATCATCTAACAATAACAAAACCACCTCAGTTTCACATGCACAACCAACACGACCAATCAAATGTACATACAGACACAACTACATGCACCCGTGTGTGTGTGTCGCTTTAGTATTGAAAATTGTCAAACCATAAAATTAAATAATTTTAGATATAACTGGAGCTTTCCAACTTTAAACGGGTTGCAAAGAAAAGCCAGAGAAGTTAGGGCAGGCTTGTAGTTCAGGGACGGTCTTGAAAATGCTTTCTTTTTCAGAAGGCACTATATCTTTTACATATCGTAATTGAAAGTTAAGTAATTCTTGGCGAACTATACAGGAGCAGGCTTTTTTCCCCCCTATAAAGGAAGCATCTTTTACGCTTGTGTATTATAGTTGCATACACATGGCAACTAAAATATCATTCAAAGGGAGAATAAGGATTGGAGACATTGTTGTTCTTAGTTCAAATCAATTCACTAGGTCCAAGTGTATGCATGCCTTGAGTAAGTTACTCATTCTAAAAGACTGCAACTGTTCCGCTGAATTGATTTCAGCACAGTGAACTTAACAAATCTAAAAAGGAACATATACAGAACTTGTTGTTTTGTTCTTCAGTAAATAAAAAAATAATGACTATAAGGGTTGTTTGACAAAGTTTTACCAGATTTTGATAAAATTTGATGACATGTATGATTGAAAAGATGTGAATCCCATGAAATGTGTGGTTAAAATTAAATATTAACTTTGACCTCAACATTTTAGCAAATTTTTTAACTTTCCCAAACAAGCACTAAGTACAAACTGCAAATGTCATGATTGGCACAACTCACTTAAGGTTCAGCATTCACCAATAGAAACTCCGGCTGCAAGAGAAACTCTGCCATCTTTCCTTCCTTTCATTTTCTTTTATCAACAGGGCATGAAATTTGACTTACCAAAAACATATTTAGACCTTCCCACTACACCTTGACAGTACAACATGTAATAATATCATTAGTCCCAGTAATCCAAGGTTATTTCCATTGGAATTTGATGTAGAAGGAAGAGTCAAGAATCAAAGAACATAATATCACAAATCGTTGATTCGTGCAATTTGGTCCGAAATATGAAGAAACTCTTCAAAAGTTCTATTAATATTCAAAAACAACCAAATAATAATCTGCCCTAGTTTTAACTTCAATAAGAAAATCCTACAAAAAAACCTAGCCACCAAAAATGACAAAATAACCCCTAATTAAAGTCTTTAATTGAACAATGGAATAAAGTGATAAAATAAGAGACGTGATCTGTGTCTATTTCCATAATTCTCTCCAAGATTCGCCATCGAATCTTGATTTATTTTCTCATCCGTCATCTCATAATGGTAATCGAATTTGTAATAAAACAACGAAATCCCATGAGTGCACCAAGCATTGAGATTGATTTAAAGTATTCATTTCAACTTTGTTAATTTGTGAGCCCTTCTCCATGGAATGTTTTTGCAAATTAGACAATAAATCATGCTCCACCAAATAACTCTCATCATCTAAATCACACAAATCCACTACCATATTTCCCATAGCATAGTTTTGAATTAAACTCTTTTCAAATATTGTAGCAATTAAGCTTCCACCTACTAAGAGACATCTCACTCCTAATTTTTTAGGCTAGAATCCCCAAAAATATGTATTGAAAGAGTTATGTCAAAAATTAATCATGCAAGGATGTTTGATAAATGACAAAATATCATCACTAATTCCATCAGTTACCATAGTAATGACACATTTATTTTGGAAGATATTTCGACATATTATTCCCTTCCACTCTCATTCCGTATATTCAGACGAATGCAAATCAGTAATCATTTTCCTTTATCCACTCAAAGGTCCTCTGGCTATTCATAAATGACATAATTGTCCTTCATAGCATTTAGAAGTTTATTACCTTTGACATCCACTCTGACAGTCATTGAGTTCCCACTAACCACCGCTGCAAAAGTCTCCCCTGTATGTTCCCATACACTCTTCCACTATACATCTTTATCAATTTCAGTGTAAAAAATGGGCGGCTATTGTAATCCTCATCTGAATCAATATCCATTCGCTGCTTGAGATTGAGAGAGGCAAAAAGGTTGTCGTCGTCTTTGGAGTCCTCCGTTGCAGCCGACTTTACAATTGTTGAGCCCTCGCGCTGCTAAAGTAGCCAATTAATGTGCTTCGTCAACACCTCCAATTGTGATGCAGATGTTTTATCTCTATCATTTGTGTCATCAAGAACACTTGTCATTGGCAATTTTGCATATTCTTCGTGACGAAAATCACTTCTGCCGTTGCAGTTTTATGGATCTCAATGCGTAGCTAATCTCTGATACGTGATGAGGGGGAATTGTCGAGAATCGGATACAAGATCATAAATTGTTGATTCATGCATGAATACCAATTTAGGCCCAAATTTGAAAGGGAAAACAAATCTCTTCACGAGTTTTATTAATAGTTAAAAGTCAAAACAATCAAATAATTATCAACCAAAATTTTAGCTTATATCATAGAATCCAAAGAAAAACCCTTACAACCTTAAACGACAAAATAACCCCTAATTAAAGTCTTTAATTGAACAATAAGATAAAGTGATAAAATAAGGGACATAATAAAGTGAATCGAATCTTTGATATCTGTGTCTATCTCCATCATAAATTCAGAATATATGTATCCATTGGCAAATGTCATGCCTTTATAGATATGTTGATGAATTCAATAAAATTTAAAAGCATAAAAGAACTAAAATGCTAACCTTTAAGAGGAACTTGAGAACCTGGCTGCTGCGGTGTAATAGAAATAGAGGCCTGTGATCCATTGCCAGGTGCTGCAGATGTTGAATCTTGAAGCTTCAAATTAGTTGCCTATATACAAAATTGCAATGCAGACTTGAGTTTACAGTGTTTTTTTTCCTTACAGTTTTAAACCCATTGCTAATGCGTCAATCAACCAAAAAAAAAAAAAAACTTTGAGCAATATTGAGGAATGAAATTAGGAATTCAGAATGCCAGGTTGAGAAGGAAAAGGTACAAAGTGCAGAAGTGGCCTAAAAAATCAACCAGTAAAGAAATTTTACAAAAATAAAAGAAAAACATGAATTTGATAATTGTTTATACCGATGAAGCTTATGCAATGGACAGAGGAACCTCCTAAAAATTTTCATATTGAGGAAGAAGAGAAAAGGTAGAAAAAGAATGACGTAATAAAATAAGAATACCCGCGTCAATGCGACGGCGGCGCAGGCTAACTCGAGGCGACTTTTAAGGTAGGCCTGGTACTCCTCGGAATCTGTCGGAATATTAGCAGGTGGTGGGCCCCCCAAATCTGCCGCCGTTTTTCGATTACTGATATTATTATTAATATTAAAGTCACTATGATTAGTAGTCTGGACGACGTCGTTTGATGTGGTGGCAGAACCCGACGTCGGAGGTTGTTGCGAGGATGAATCATCAAGTGCAGATGCCTCTTGGAGAAAACGCTGGAAAGCCCATTCAGAGGAGCTACGATTCATCATCATCTTGTTATTCGACGTGGATGAGCCCGCCGGAGTAGCTGCTGAGGAGGATGACTCTTCATGCTCCTCCGCCGCCACGTCCAGCCGCATCGGAAGCGGCTGAGGTGCCAAGAAGTGATCCGCTAGTTCATCCATTGAAGACACCCTATCCATATGTGAACTCGTGAAGAAAGAAAAAGAAACAGAAATATATAAATATATTCGAAAAGAATAGGGTTATGGATAAAATAAAATACGGTGGGGATTGATTGGATTTCGCAACGTTAAAATTCCAAATTTGAGACAAGTCTGAGTAGGATATTTTATCCCTTTTTGGTGCATTTATTACACACAGCTGTCACGAATCGAATCCTATTGTATTCCAAATTTGTCCTAATTTGCAGATGAAGGGGACAAATACCTACCTTCAGCTTGTCTTGTTTTTTCTGGTAATGAAAATATAGAGTACGGAAGTCGATTTAAATGACTGAGAATAAAGAGAGAGAACTTGCGCTAAAATGGATAGAGTTCTGCTACACGTACAGAACAATTTTTTACAGAATACAGGGATGGATGAGTTAATTTTTGGATTATTTTACTCACATGGGGCCCACTTCCCATGTGAGTATCTGAAAAACTTCTATAAGAGAAAATTCTGTACACACAAAATTTTCCAAATGGATAACCTGTCATCTTGATTATGACGTCCTCAATGTTGACGTGGAGATTGTTGAGTAATAGATTTCTAGTGGTGGAACTATGAATCACGAAGTTTAGCTCTTGAAGTATCGTATTGAGCAATAATATGTCTATTGTTGTTGCAAAACTGAGACTAATTTGTTAGGGGTTGGCGAAAACTCGGGTGCAAATAATTAGGTTACGTGACCTTATTGCTCACAAAATTCCTTGTACAGTTTATAGTTTCAATTTCTTCCTTATAGAAGCCACTTACTTCCACTGAAATCGAAGACGTGAGGAATGGGATGATCTTTGTTTGGTATGATCTTTTTCTTCGTTTGTGTTTAGATGTGCCTCAAAGGTGATATATTCTCATTGAGTTCACCTCATATATTAGAACAATGCAACATTCTAATGTATGCTTTAGGACTTAAGGGAAAAAATTTGAAACGTTCATAATGAAATTGAGATTGAAATTTCACATTTTTTTCCAGGGACTAATGTGTAGATGATAAAAATATACATTTGGTCGAAAAATAATCCTTAATGAATAATATAATAATGAGTAATCATTTTTTGTTAGAAATTAAGGTTCAATAATTTGTTAACTTTATTTGAATATTCTACTGATATCGTTGTCTACCCATCAACATGCTATTAATATAGGAAAGGCGCCCTCGGGGCACAGCTCAGTTGGTGGATCAATCAATATTGTCTTGCTTCCAGCGGCAGGGTGGAGAGTTCGATTCCTGGTGGGAACCTGCGGCCAAAAAATTTGGTATGTAGCAATCATTGTGGAGGAGGGTCTCTTGTGCGCAGAAGTGTACAGACAATGGGGGGAACCTGTGATCCAGTTGAGGCATAACCCGCGATTTACCTCCTCCAAGGTTCTAGGGGCATGGGTCTTGGGGGCCCAAAATTTAGTTTGGTGTAAATTGGGATACCTGGATATCAAAAAAAAAAAACAATAATAAATAATATAGGAAAGGGTGATGCTCACAACCCACTCACCAGGCAATATGGAAAGATTTCAGTGCAACGGTTCAGTGCCTTGCCATTACACAATTATTCTTGTTTCCATCTATGTAGTTTTAATTGGCTCTCCAAATTTTTACGAAGGCCCTCTTTTAGTTATAAGATTTAGAGCACGTTTGATTGCTAATATTTTCTATAAAAAATATTGTTTTTTCACTCAAATTCCTAATTTTATGCCGTTTGATTGATATTTTTCTATGAAATTTTTTTCCTACTTTTGCTCACGTGACTATATTTTCCTTGAAAATAAGGAAAATATTTTCTTTAAGGAAAATAGATTTTTATTTTCTTTAGGGAAAATAGATTTTTATTTTCCAACTAATTCACTTACTCTCTCTCATCTATCCCCTCTCTCTCCCATCTACGTCTCATTCTTCCCTCTACCTACCAATTAAATATAGACAAGTATAGCATTTACAAGATTGAAAATAAAATCAACCAATTACATTTAATTGACAATTCCCATGCAAATAATTTTAGATAATTCAATTGTTTTGAATTTATTTTCTTTCTATGCGAATTCCATGTTCGCAATCAAACACATTCTTATAGTGCCGTTTTGTCTAATTACATAGGATAGACCTACCAAATCTCTCCCTCTGCTTCGTGCGATGGAAGAGTCATGGCAAATGTCAAGCTTCTCACTTGGAAAATCTTTTGTCATCATGTCGAAGCCGTTATGATTAGCATGAATTTTCTCAAGCTCTAAAAACTTAAAATTTAGTGAATTCAATAATGCTCGCATACGTGTTTTGAATCTGCCATGAAATGTGGCATTCTTGCTAAGGTAGGAATAATATATATTTCTCTACCTAAACCTAAGCTTCTAATAATGTTTTTCATCTACAATAACTATTTACTAACGTCAGTTGCTATAATGAACTTTGCCTCTATCGTAGAAAGTCCATCGTCCTTCATTAAGTGCGACTGCCATGGCATTGCCCTACATGAAAAAGTAACTAAATAACTAAATGTTAACTTACGAGAATCAATATCTACGTGCCATGAGTGTGGTTTCCCATTCCCAAAATCAAGTCTCAAATTGAAAAGTGACCTGAAGGAATCCCATAATTCACCTGATTGCATTTCAATGCTTTGTTCTTGGATTAGGCTACGTTCAATTTGGTACAAACCATAACATATATCAAACTTCATACTTCAAAGGCATATGGAACACCTTCCGTATCTTCTTTCTCTTCAACTATCGAATGAATTTGCTCGATACTTTACTTGAAATCAAGAGGAGAACTGACGATTTTAATTTTTTCAAAGTTGAGCTTTCGAAGAAATTTCTCGATATACTATTCAAGTCTTACTGTATCAAAATGATTCGGATGCTATGAATCTGCTCTGTTTGCCCAAAGTCTTTCATAACAAAAGACTAGGCGTTCATTTAACAAATTTATAAATGGTTATCTCATAAAATAAGGAGTAATAGCAACGAAAGTATGGTTGAAATTAATATTTAAATTTGATTGAATTTATAAATCATTTATAAATTGTTATACAAATGAAGGCTGAATGGGTCAAAACAGTATTTGAAGGACCATTTTAAAATGTTAATTAAACTTCTTTGACCATTGTATAAAGTAACTCATTCATCCTTTTTCCTTTGATGCAATTGTAGTTATGACTTACTTAAGTTGACTACAGTGCTCATTAGATTAGACACGAGGCACTGTCAACTTAACGAATTTTTTGAACAAAATCAGCTAGAGAAGACAGTGAACATCGGGTAAGCGTGTTCCAAAAAAAAAAAGGAAATATACGTAAGGATCGCAGACCGCCACCATAATATTCCCAAAATTTTAAACCCATTTTTGGCAATTCACAATCTAATATGAGATTTCGCTACTTGTACATTTTTTTTTACGAAACTACATGTATACATAAAAAATGGTTACCAAGAACAATGTGAAAGAAAAATATTGGATGAAAAAGCTTACTATATTTAAAACTAGAACATGATAGAGTGCTACGTGGACATTATGTAATTTGTTATGTAAACCTTCTATATGGTAAAGTCACTTTTTTACACTTTTATTGACAGGTGCTGAGGGAGCCAAAATGTTACCACCTCAATATTTGTCAACAAAGGTGTGAAATGTTATGGAAAGAGAGAAAAAAAAAAAAGAGAGAATAGACTTATATGTATTTTATTAAGAACAAAAACTCTATTTTTATAGGAAAAAACCAGGAATACAATGTCAATAATTTGTAGGGTTGTTGTTAATCACTAATAAACTTACTATTTACAACACTTCCCTTTAAATGACACATTACAAAATGTTTGCCTCGTTAAAACCTTGTTTTATAAAAATCCAATGAGACAAAAAATCAAACAAATAAAAAAGAGTATAGTTATTCTGGAATATTAATAACAAATGTTGTCTCATTTAAACTTTGCTAGGAAAACACAGTAGAATAAAACCTAAGCAAAGGAAAAAGAGTACAGCTACCCTTCCTGATGTTGATCACTAAAAATTTTTGAGTCGACGCATTCTAAACTCATGAACCAATTTCTTGAATGTGGATGTCAACGGTGATTTTGTGAATAAATCGACCACATTGTCACTTGAGCGAATTAGTTGAACATCGATGTCATCATTCTTTTGAAACTCGTGTGTATGGAACAATTTTGGAGATATATGCTTCGTCCTATAACCTTTGATATAGTCTCCTTTGAGTTATGCAATACAAATTGCATTATCTTCATACAAAATTGTTAGACTATCATTTATTGAAGTTAACTCTCATGATGCTTTGATGTGATACAGGAGCCACAAGCAACCAAATCAAGTCCAATATTAAGCCTGAGAAAAGATCCGTTGAAAGTCGTAGGTGGACTTATGACACGAGTGAGGACAAAGCGAGTAAAGAGGCGATGTGATTACTCGTCAAAATAACCATCGATGAAATCATGTTCGGGGACTCAACATGGGACAAGTTTCGTGTTCGGGTCAAAGACTAAAACCAATTGGATCAACACGATACAAGCAGCAGAATATGGAGCTGAAGAGAAGGACCATGCGACCGCATGGTTAAAATCGTCGTGCGGTCGCACGGAGTGAGGCAAGGAATTATTCGAGATTTTCGAATGTTCCATGCAGCCGCATGATTTTACACCATGCCACCGCATGGTTAAAATTTGACGCATTTTATTATTTTTTCGTGAATTTCCTATTTTTGATCGAATTTGATACTTAGTAGATTTCTTACCATATTTGAAATATTAGGCACGTTTTTAACTATTTTTTTAGACCTAGTATAAATATTATTTTGTTTTCAATTGTAAGAACATTTTTGACATTATTCGTAATTTGAGAGGTTATATTGCTTTCAACTCTTGTTCTACAATTGAACAATTCAAGAACTTATCAAGATTTAATTTTGTGACGTTCAAATCAATCGGGTGAGATCCCGTATTTTTGTGTAATCAAGAGGTTCGTACATCGTCGGCGATTCAGGTTGCTTGGTTTCAGATCTATTGAATTTTAATCTTATTTGTGGGTTCCGTA